ACGTCAATAACTCTTGATCGGCGAAAGATATTGACAAGCTTTATGGAGCAAAAATTTGCGCCTTCTTAAGATCTAAAAGTTATTTGAAGACACCTTTGCTGAGAAATTCCAAATAAGAAAACTAGAGCAAAACAACTGTTTTTTTAGAGCCACCCTAACTCAATTCAAGAAAATAGCTCCAAATCGGCCAATTTAAGAGATACAAAAAAGTTGTCTTCTACAAAGTTGCTTGAAATTCTCAGCTATAACTTTGCCGAAGAATGTATACCTTAATTTATTCAAACAAATAAGTTAGATTTTTTATTTTAATGATAATAGGAACCATCCTAGAATTCATTGTCATAAAAATGAGGGCATAACTATAAAAAAACAACTTTGTAGAAGAGACTTTTAGTCGTATGTTTCAATTTCAGGCTCAAAACATATCATTCCACCTAAATCTGCATTCTGGACCACTGTGCAGTGGAGAAAGCTTGACTTTTGCCGCACTCGGCATCGAATATGCCGAAATCGAAATGCCTTATCGAATGATCTATCTTGTCTGTGAAGTTGAGTTGAGTTGAGGCTAGACAGCAGCGCTCTTTTATATGTTTTCAGGTTCAAGCAGAATGATGTGCAACCAAGAGGTACTCGATTATGAAGACTGCGTTTGGGAACAACGTTTATTTCATGAAAACAGTGAATAAAATATCACTTTTTCTTTGTGCTTTGGATAATACTTAACATTACCACTTTTTCGATAGCTTCTTGTTGAAAATCATCAATTGAAAGCATTGCGTAAACATATTTCTTATCGATTGGTGATAAAATTATTGAAATTGATCCAGGGGCAGCTGAGTTATTAATGTTCAAAATCTTTCATAATTTTGTTTCATGTTATATTTTCGGTTTTCACAAAGTGTACCCCAGTATAGAAATTAAAGACGAAGTCCTACGTCAAAATGTCTAAGCAGGAGGAGGGGGAGGGGGGTCAAGGATCCCAAAAAAAAACTGTCTACGTAGTTGATCCTTTTTTGGTTTGCTACACGTTACAATTAATGTTAGTTCAATTTCATATCATCCTCTGTTCATGAACATCGCATCGAATGTTAGAAGTTGACCTTGCAGGCGATGTAATGGTTTTTTGCCTTTTTTATTTCGCGTTCTGTCTGTGCTTTCATCTACACAAGCAAGCATTTGCCTTGATTTTTATGTATAAGATGGCAGAACGACGCACACACTTGCCTCGAATCTCTCCAGTAGAAAAAGCATACGAAGTCAAGTGTGAGAGGAAATGAGCGCTACTTTTAGGCTATCCATATTCAGAAGCATGGAGAGAGCAGTGGAGAAAGCACAGGTCTGATAATCACAACGTTCGTGGTTCGAGTCCCAGTCGGCAACCTTTTTCCAATTTTTTTCGACATAATTCATTTCACTCACTAATACACTCCACATTGTTCGGTCTCCAATTCTCTTACATTGGACCGCAGCTAGGTATATTGCATCCTCGGTTCATGCGGTCTCCACTTACATCCTCTGATGATGAATTCCACATAATTGTAAGCGAATCTTACATCCACCGGTTGGGTGTAATTGTGGTTTGCTTAAAATTTGTCTTTTTCGGGTTGTTGTTAAGGGGGGTGGAATGGTTGTTGTTAAGGAGGGAGGGGGTTTTACATGCATAATTTTCCAAGTCTTATTGCTCATTGTGGTGGTCATGATCACGCCGTGATCCACCTTTAGCCGCTGACTTGGTCCTGCGTGCTGCAGGACCTAGTGCCACGCCGTCCAAATAGGATTGGGCGATCTTGGATCGATTCTTTGTCCACGAAAAGATCGACAAAAAACGATTTTTTCTTTCGATTTTTTCAATCTTCAAAAAAAAAATTTCATTTTTCTAAGCGTATTTACATAGACAAATCGATGCTCTCTCATACCAGAGTGTGGGGTAAATTTAACGAACATTATTCAACTTGAATCATCAATATATCATTCTGTTTCTCCGTGTACTTTGGTCTCAATCAAACTGAATTAACACACACATTGACAGTGAGCAAGTGTGACGTCCATTTCCTCTTTTTTTTCGATTGCACGTTACTTTGCGCGAGTTATGTTTTTACATACGGGAGGTTCTTTTAAAAGAGAACTTTAACCGCACTTGATTGCTAATTACAGACTAATTTATTTCATTAAATTTTTCCCTACTCCTAACCGATGTACGTTGGTCGGTGCTGCCTTGTCAGCACCTCGTTTCCGTTGTTCCCAATCGCATCAATATCGCTGAGTTGACGGGTCGATCGGTCGTTGGCTTTGCTGCTTGGCTGGTCGGTCGTTAACTCGCGCATTTTATTCAAAGAAAAATTCCTTTCCTGTGATTTTATTGAATATAATATAGAAATTAATTTCTTGGAGTACCAGCGTGAACAAACGTATTGTAAAAAAAATCAAAAGATCGATCTTCTGGTACCGATTAAATCAGTGGATCGATTCTAGAGCCAAATTTATGATCGATCTGTCAAGATCTATCTTTCTCTGAAGATGGCCCAATCCTACGTCCGAAGCGGTAAGGAGCAGAGTACATGGTTAGAAAAAAGTACCCAAAAGTAAGTTCTTTTCACTCATCTCGGCACTATAGTGCAGGAACCCAAAATTAGGTAAAGCAGGTCAAAGTAATTTTCATTTACTTGTGTGCAGTTCGTGTGGAATTTTTCACTGGCTTTTTAACCAAAAGTAAGTTAGTTGTATCCAACAGTAGGTAAATATGATTATACTCAACGTTGGGTTCCCACACTTTACTACCCCTGTTGGGTGGTCTTGCTCCTCCGTTTTTGACAACATTAGAAGGAGAAAAGCAGACAAACTAGTCAAAAGTAGGTAAAAGTGAACTTTCCGTTGGGTACTTTTTTCTTACCGTGTAAGGAAAGCAGTGCTGTTTTATATCTGTTCAGGTTCAAGCAGAATGATGCGCAAACAAGTGGTACTCGATTATGACGACTGCGTTTGGGAACAACGTTTATTTCATGAAAACAGTGATGAAATTATCATTTGCACATTTTTCAAAAGTGTTTTGATTAAAAATTGGAATAGTATTTATTTCAGCCGATTCGTTAAGTAATATCCTATCTATTGGCGTATTTGGGTTTTATTTTCGTCTGTAAATGACAAAGTTACAAGCGTTCGAAACCTAACACTATTTCACCACACACATTTTTTGATTTGTACCCCAGTATAGTCGACAAAGACGTAGTTCTACGTCAAAAAAAAAGGATTATATATAATCAGATTGTAAAGTACATATATAGAGCACAATAAAGTAGATTAAGTATAAAATCATAAAGCTCCAGTTGTAAGCCAAGAAGAAGAAAGTGATTTATATACACTTCGCACTACGTAAATCTTATATCAGCTCCACATAGATAAGCCACAATTGTATCTTAAAATTATTGTCAGGTTGGGAAAAAACCTGAAGACATAAATCAATTGATTATTGAATTATGATTTGAACTCCACTTCAAACTAGCATTTGCTGTTCAATTGAGCAGTACAGAAACTGAGACCAATTAAAATATCCATTAAGGCCTCGTCTATCTAAGGATAATATCAAAAACCGAGATTCTACTGGGTTCTATTCACCTGGTGGCTCAATATGGGATTTTTTTTTTTTTTTATAAAATTTGGTTTTAATGTTCAGCCAAGATGGATTTTGAGTCCTTCTTTTGAATGTTACGATTGAATTTTGTTGAATAGATTTTACTAAATCCATACGTCTAGTTAGATTTTTGGAAGCACGCACAATTTTTGAGAAAACTGAGTTATATTTGAATAAGGAGGAACTATCGAAAACATAACGTTTTTTTTTATAATGGAACTATTACGTTTGTGGTATTTCGCTTGATGGCTTACCCGGTATTTATCAAAACCCAAAAATCAGGTGCTTTGATCCTATTCATCTACATTATTGCTTTGATCCTATTCATCTACATTATTACTAAAGTATAAAAAAAACTTATACGCGAAATGTATTGTTGATAAGTATTACACATAATAAAGTCAATATTGTGACATTAGTGTCAAAAAGCACGGCTTCAAAGAAGTATAAGGCTATATACAACTTTGTCTCAGACGTCATTTTGATCAAAAATGCTACAATTTTAAGTTCAAGGACGCTATTTTGAAAACATTGCAAGCTGTGTAGGTTAGTAAGCATACTGGCAGTTAGTTTCAAATGAATCGGTTATCATCTCAATTAATCGATTAATCGACATTTACCGACATCCCTAATTTCAATGCTTGATAATAAAACAATGATTGGATTATTATTTAAATTCTAAAGCTTTCCCATCTAAACCAGAATTTGTAAACATCTCTCAGAGTGTTCTATTCTAAATCAAAGCTATATAAGTACATGTAAGAGTTCGCTTACGTAAATGGTTAATACATACAGTCTCTTCAAATCACCGACCACTTTGGGGCAATCATCCGCGCCGTTATGAATGAACCACATCGAAATGGAATCATACATTTACAAACCTATCGCACATTCGACTTCAGCCCCCGTGATCCGACGACTCTGTCTGTTGGACTAAATAATCATACATACAGTCAAGTCCGGTCACAATCTCGTTCTTGAAAAATGAACAACATAAACGAAGAAGACCAGTTTTTATTATTGAATCGGTCTCACTGGATTATGCCGGCGATCTGGAATCTCGTTCATAGCTGTGTATTGCCTTGAAGAGATTAACTTGAATCGTCGCATAACGAAACGCAAGTATAACGGTTCCCATCGAAGCACACCACTCATAGCTCCATGGAAATGAGCTCCCCGCGAATGAAAGAAGAAATAAAAGAAGAATAGAACCAAACGGCAGAAAGGTCATCGAGAGACAGTTGGTAGTGTTCTACTTCTACACATACCTACCGGTCGGTCGGTCGGTCGGTGGCGATGATGACGACGGGAAGGCAAGAGATTAGTAACGTTCGATTGAGTCTGCATGCTGCGGCAGTTTCAGTTGAACCGTTGCCAGAACCAGCAAGCCTCTTGTCGTCGGAGTGCACGCGGAGCTCGTGGTAGAGAATACGACCCACGTTGATCGTATTTTGATTATCGGAGTGCATAAATCAATTTACATTTGCTGCGAGGGACTTCGCTTCCGGGTTGGTAGGAGTTTATGTATGTTTGAGGGAGAGAGAGAGAGTGACGAAAAAAGTTCCCAGTGGAGTAGACTTGTTCGTGTGGGGTTGAATAGTGCTAAATGTAGGAAATTGGATCCAATCTTATCCGAAAGATACTCCAGACTCAGGGATCCCAGCAATCAGCAAGTCACTTAGTGAAATTTTGGATTTCTAATTTGTAGAAAAAGAAATTATCTCCACATCGAATAAAATCGCCAAAAAGTGAACAAGTCTACTGCACTGATGTATATTGTTCTCATATCGTTCATTCCACAAACGACTATTATTATTATTATGATTCACGACCACATTTCGCGGTGGGCTATTGGTTATTGAAATTGATTGTTTTTTGTAGCCTGGCCTGCTTCGGTCCGTCCCGTCCCAAACCCCGCAGTTGGCATAGGAAAGTAGCGCACTACTTCCGGGTGGCCATTTTTCACGCTTCGTTTAATTCAATTTCGACTCCGCACCGTTCCCGATTCTGTCGTTCGATTCCGGGCAGCCTTGGAGGACCAACCATCGAGCGGGTGTGTTTGTGTGTGGGCGTAAAAATAATGAGCCTTCGTCCGTCTGTGGCAAAACCGGTGACGAAATTGACGATAATGACGATGAGGACGATGATGATTGGGATTTTCTGGTTGGCCATTATATTCTCATTATCGGCCGGACAAGAAATTGATTTCGGCTTCGAATCGAACAAAGAATCGGCGGTCGGCGACGGTGCCGATGATAAATTACAAGTGTCAATTTATTACGAAGCACTTTGCTCCGACAGCTTCTCATTTATCACGAATCAGCTATTCCCGGCTTGGCAAAAGCATCGCGACCAAATGGACCTGAAGTTGGTTCCCTTCGGGAAGGCTTACGTGAGTTGCTGTGTGAGATGCTCCCAACACCATTAAACCCTAAACAAACCGATTCTTGTAGATTGATGACTCCAATCCGGGCGACCCGGTTTACTACTGCCAGCATGGTCGCCGCGAGTGCACCCTAAACATCCTTCATGGATGCATCCTGGCGAAGCTTCCATTCGAGCGGGCCTTCCCCGTGGTGGCCTGTTTGATGAAAGGCACACGAACGTCCTTTGATCAGGTAGGTCAGCTAATCAATTCCATCGAAAGATTAATCACATTTGTAACCTGTGGCAGTGCATCAAGTGGAATCCAGCGGACAAAGCTGACATCCTAGAGTGTTCCCACGGTCAAGAGGGTGCTAAGTTATTCAAGGGTTTTGAAGAGGAAACCAATCGGGTTGCAACGCCGCTGTCGTTCGTCCCGTCGATTGAAGCCGATAAGGTAAGTGTGGTGATTTAATAGTAGAGGATACTAAGCAGTTTCTATTGATCCTATTTCAACTTTCTTCGAAACAGAACTTCGACTATTATGAGCAAGATCGATGGCTGCACGGATTTGACGACAAATTCCGCAGGGAGTATGAAAGGAAGTTTCGTAGAAGCTTGAACTGACGAGGTTGGATTGGATGGCACCTCTTTCGTTTGTAGTACGTTTGATCAAATAAATATCAAATACTGGTTTAACTTTATTAATAATTTACTTTGTGATGAGAACAAATCAAGAGTATTGGCAAAGTAACATTATAAATTTCTCAGTGATCTATTCATAGATCAGTTACATTTCAAATTACTGTCGAGAAACTTCAGCTCAAAAGTTATGCATGTCTTCACCAAAATTGTTCTATGGACCAATCTCTTGAAAATGGTTATTTACTTTACTTTTGCTGGTCAATGTTGCGCCAACTAACTCGATCCCTGGCTGCTTGTCTCCAATTCCTCGAGTGTCCCACACTTAAGTCGGAATGAATGCGGTTACTTTCCAAGAAATTGAGAGTCTTACAGTTTCATGTTCCGAGTTTCCAATCGCTAGTCCGTATTTTTCCGGTCCGTATTTACATAGTTTGCTTCCTGTACTTTTTTAGTTTTACGGTTGACTTGTAGGGCCACTGCCACTTGTCTCGCCGGAGGACCATCGTGCACCAAGGTCCCACCGGCGTTGGATACCCGATCTTTCCTATGGTTACTCGTACCCCAGCCGGTACCGCGGGGAGGTAGGGATAGGAGTTACTGGACAACAGGCTAAGGATCACATTAGGGTCTATTTTATACCTGTAGGTACGCGGGGTATCAATGGTCAATGGTCCAGTCATTTACCAGCCATTTTGAAAATGGTAAACAATTCAGATTGGAATCGAATCACTAGGTGGCACTAGTGTCTGTAGAAAACTTAGTTTGATCATCTTTAATAGAATAAATTTCTCGTAATGTGTGTTAGATAGAAGGATGCGGTCTTCTGCAATGTTTTTTAGATTACAAAGACCTGCACTGCAGTTTATTTTTTTGATTCAAAATTATTTCACCAGCTGGCTCTAGTGATCATATGAAATTTGTGTACATGCAATATCTCATGATCCAGGCTATATACAAAGTTGCTGTTTTCTGCAATGTTGTTCAGGAGACCAAGACCTTTTGAATTGTGAACAGTTGAGAACGGAATTCACTCACTAGGTGGCACTAGTGTTAATGTATACATCGTGTACATGCAGCGTCAACATCTCGAGATTCTTGCTAGATAAAAAAAAATGCTGTGGTCTGTGGGATCGAAGTGTGCTGTGCTCTTGAACGGACGCGATATTTGTGTCCCCCCGTAATTTTTTTCAAATTTTTAAATGTGAAATTTTTCTACATTTTGACTTGAGTGATTTTCAACTACGGACTTGCAGTGGCAACGGGTTGGATGCGCGGTTATCGAGTGTGGAAATAATGAAATTCCGAATTTGGGCCGAACGCGAGCGAAGCGTAGTATGTAGTTGTTGGTGCTGCCATGGTGATTGTATTTGGTGAGCTTGTTCCAATTAAAAACAACCCGTTTGTTTCCTGCCAGGATAACCTCAATCGCGCGTGATCAATTTTGCGAGTGCAAGAACATACATAGTTGAGTCTTGTGGGGAGGGGGGAAAACATTAGGATTTATTCCAGGCTACTATTGTAGAGGATCGTCATTGATAGATATTGGGCGGAACGCGTCGGAATGTTTAGAAAAATAGGGCGCACGCTTGATCCGGTTTGGGATACATTGTTGACTGCTTTCGGGAACGTGTTTTAATTTTGATAACTTGTTTAACCAGGGCTTAAACAATCGCATATCATAACAATAGCTTGTTATGATAGCCTGAACAATGCGTAAAGAGCGAACCGAAACATTGAACGTCGCGTGAAAGTGGAACTTAATAAAGGCCTAAGTGCTTTTTCGTAACTTTTAGTTTGCGGATTAGAAAGATCATCGATTGCAGGACAGTGTTGCCGATTAATATTGGATAATCCAAAACTATGTTGATCATTATAATATTATTTTTTGAATTACAAATGATAAGACAATCTTATTCAAATGTCGTAATAATACCTCTCACCAAAGCAAAATGATTTATATGGTTTTTATAAAACTTGACGATACCAATACTAATAAGGAAAGGAATTCCGCATTTCCTTTTCCCAAGTCCTTTTCCTCTCCTTCTCTTCTCTTCTTCTCTTTTCAGAAAGCGAGTAATGGCGCTATAACCATATGCCATATAGGGCTAGGACAAGAGTTAGTGCTCAGGTCCCAACCGCTAGAAAAAAATGGAGCATAACTTAACCTGTTCAGACTAAATGCTCCCAACGACAAATGATTTATAAATAACAATACAACGGAACGGTAAGAGATTCTGAAGCATCGTATTAAAATCTTGGATTTAAACAGGCCCGATGTTTCTAAATCATCTTGCCCCTCAAATGCTGCACAGTAGGCCTGGCCGTTTTGATATATTTTGCGCATCTATGATGTGCAACATATACCAAATAGAAGAAAAAAAGTGATGGAGGTATATCTATCATTTTCCAGGAGATCAAGACCTTTTGTATTGTGGACAGTTAAGTCCGAAATTATCTCATTAGGTGGCATTTGTGTTCTTATAAATTACATGTACATGCTGGGGTGACATCTCGAGCTCCATGCTAGAATGCGAAGGGCTTTTGAATTGTGAATGGTTTTGTTCGGAATTCTTTCACTAGGTCGCACTAGTGTGTAGCGGGTCGATAGTTGTTTTCAGGGGAAAGGAAAATCACGGCCTGCATGGCGACGGGTAGGTGTTGTTACCAGTTGGTTACAATCCGTAGATTTTCGTCTGTATGAGTTATTGTTGGTTGGGAAAATTCACGTTTTGGTAAACAAGAACGTTACTGAAGGGAGGAAAATCTCAGCTTTAAAATAACAGTGGATGCACAAGTTGGATGATGATAGCCATCTTAGATTTGGAAGATTAGGGAGAGAAACAAACAGGCGTCCGTGTGGAAAAGACCGGTATCTTAAAGTGCAGTGTCATTTAGTGTAATTCCTGGGGGTGTCATTAAGTGTAATTGTGGGGTTTCTGGGATGTTCATCAATCGTCCATCATGGACGTCACGGTCAGCCGATGTCGTCAACGACGGAAGACGCCTGTCAGCCAAACGAGCCAGCAACGCCTACTGAGCCGTACGTCGCTGATGAACGCCACCAGATCCGATGTTTGCAGCCCGCGCCTCTAGTTTCCGGCCACACGGTAGTGCAGGAGCAGCCAGTAGGAGTACAGTGCCAATTTTAAACCCTCGCGCACATGCCACATATACACACTTAGAAAAAATCATGTAAATTTAGGTGCTCTGAGACTGACATATACGAGCGTCAATTTTGACATAAAATTGCGTCGAAATAGACGCGAAATTCAGTTCAATCAAACGTACTTTTCGTCGAATAACGAACTTTTCAGTCTCGGAGGACTTAATTTTACATGACATGTGTGACTATGGCATGACCAGACACTCCCGGGTAACTAGCTCAGTAGCATGAGACCCCTGAACTGTGTCGCAGGGCCGGCATGTTACTGGGTATTCGGAGGGGCTACGCGGACAAAGTATGAAACACAGGAATATTCACATTTTCTAAAACATTTATTTGCCCTTTTCTGTGGCGTGTGGGTGTGGGTTTTCACATATATGTGGCGTGTATGCGAGAGTTTATGAACAGTACAGTACTCACTGTTGCAGCAGATTCTCCTTCGGCATCGCGACGCTGGAGTTGGCCCACACGGCTGCTCCTGCACTACCGTGTGGCCGGAAACTTGCGGCGCGGGCTGCAGACAGTGTTGTTGCCGCTTTGGGAGAATGGCGGATCTGGTGGCGTTCATCAGCCACATACGGCTCAGCAGGCGTTGCTGGCTCGTTTGGCTGGCAGGCGTCTTCCGTCGTTGACGGCATCGGCTGACCGTGGCATGGCCACCTTGGTCGAGCCGAGACGGGACCCTCCTTGGCAATTAAGGCCACCGGCCTGAGGGAATCGTCCCTGACGGACGATCGAGGATCATTTACTATTAGGCTCGGAAGCCATCTTGACTTCCGAGCCGAGCCGTGTAAAACCGTTTTGCTTACGGTACGAGGTGTACAAAATGTACAAAAGCACAAGAGCACAAGATCACAAGAGGTCCTGAACGGAGGTAGGCTTTCCAGCCCAAACCCCCACAAGGGGGGGGGGGAGGGTTTATTGTATATGCACTACACTTCACGATACCGGTCTACACGGACGCCTGATTACTTCTGCCAATTAGAAGGTTTTTTCTTTTACAACATGGCCACTCGCATGCCTTTTGCCGATCATTCTCCATTTTTAGCTTAATTGTCCTCCCTTTAGTATCGTTCGAGTGTTTTTGCAGCGGTACTAACCCTCTCGCTGCTGTGTGTTGCCTTCTGTCTTTTAAATTAAAATACGTGAATTTTCCAAACAACAACAACTCATACAAACGAAAATCCACGGATTGTAACCAACTGGTTACACATGTTTGTTAACGTGTCATCCTTTATGTCAAAGATGGATTCCGTCACGTGTAAAATTAAGAATATCTAAGTGTGTAATGAAAACCCACACCCACACGCCACAGAAGAGGGCAATACATGTTTTAGAAAATGTGAATGTTCCTGTGTGTTCATACTTTGCCCGCGTAGCTCCTCCGAATACCCAGTAACATGCCGGCCCAGCGACACAGTTCAGTAGTCTCATGCCACCGACAAACCGACATGAATGATCCTACAAATTACAAAGAAATTTCTGATCAAAGCACAAAACTGACATCTGCCGCTGTGTTCGTGGAAAATATTTATCCTAGCCACGAACACGCGTACAAAATTTATGAGTTGGTTCTTGTATAATCTATTTCGGACACATTATTTTTATCTAGATAAAACATTTCAATGGTTTTGACAGATGGGATCGCTGCACATTTGAATCGGCCGTTATGGATTCTCGATCAAGAGTTAAGTTTAAGTTTCATGTCGGTTTGTCGGTGGTCTCATGCTACTAAGCTAGTTTCCCGGGAATGTTTGGTCATGTCATAGTCACAGGGTAGCGGATATCTTTTATACTCGCTTTCGTTGTACAGCACAAGATGGCGAGTCTGATGTTGGTCGATGGACGGCTCA